ACACGGGAGAAGATCTCTTGCATTCTTTGTTAGAGGATCTTGGGTGTTCTAGATCACACTCCTGAATCAGCACCTGACATTTCTCACTGCCTTCCTTGGGAGAAAAAAAAAGCCGAAACTGCTGGAGATGACTCAGTGGTTAAGAACACTCGTTGTTCCTGCAGAGTCTCCGTTTGGTTCCCAGTAGCCATACAGCAGCTCACAACCCCCTGTAACTCCAATCACAGGTGATCCAGTGCCATCTTCTGGCTGCTACAGGCACCAGGCACTCACATGATGCTCAGGTATGTATGTATGCAGGCATACATGCATATAAACAGATCTTTGCCAAGAGTATGTCACACCTTTGATCCCAGTGCTTAAGAGGCAGCTGCGGGTAGGTCTCTCTGAATTTGAGGTCTGCATAGCAAGTTCTAGGCCAACCAGGGCATTTCATGAGATCCAGTCTCAAAAATAAAGAAAAAAACCAGTCCCTGAAAGTTTAATTTTAACAGTGGAGTTGATGGTAGTCTATTGTAAACTATTATGCTTCTTTAATTTGTCAGTTTGCTTTTGGCTTTCTCTCTTTATATTTTTAGTTATTTATATAACCCCTATTATTTGTCTCAAAAGTTTGGTATTTTGTTGTCGTTGGTTTTTGGTTGGTTTTGGTTTTTTGAGACAGGGTTTCTCTGTGTAACAGCCCTGACTGTCTTGGAACTTGCTCTGTAGACCAAGCTGGCCTCGAACTCAGAAATCCACCTGCTTCTGCCTCCCAAGTGCTGGCATTAAAGGTATGTGCCACCACTGCCTGGCTGAGTTTGGTGGTTTTTTGTTTGTTGGTTTGTTTTTTTAGATCTTTTTTGCATACCAATACTAGTTCCCTCTCCCTCTGGCCCTTCCATTCCCTACCATCCCCACATCCCACCCCACCCTATCACTCCTCAGAGAGGGTGAGGCCTCCCACGGGGAATCATCAAAGTCTGTCCTATCATTTGGGGCAGGACCAAGACCCTCTGCCCTGTACCTAGGCTGAGCAAGGTATCCCTCCATAGGGAATGGACTCCCAAAAGCCAGTTCAGGCATAGGGATAAAACTGTTTCTACTGCCTGCGATCCCATAAACTGCTCAAGTCCCCCAACTGTCACCCACATTCAGGGGGCCTAGTCCGGTCTTATGTAGGCTCCCTAGCTGTCAGTCAGGAGGAGTCAGGAGCTCCCACTTGCTCGGGTCATAGTTTGGTGGGTTTTTATGACTGGTTTCCTCCCTGCCCTCCCGACATCCTAGATTGTAAAAGCCACAGGGTGGAAAAGACTGGGCAGAAGGGGAAAGAGAGGAAGGGAGGAAGGCACTCTATCCAGCTGCGTTGTTTATAGATGCAGAAACTGAGATGTGGAGGAGATAGTCAAAAGTTCGAGACCCACAGCTGATGACTGTGTAGGTTCCAGCTCTCAGGACTGAGCACGAGCTGGTGTGGCTTTCATTGCTGTGGTTCTCAACCGTCTGGTGGAATTATACCAGTGCCAATTCTGCCGCTGATCTCAAAACCAAGATAAAGAGTGATTTTCTATCAGGAACAGGATGATAGTAACTCACCCATTACGAGAAGGTCATGTGTGGGTTCTCCGCTGAGCACGGCTGCTCTTTTATTTTAGATTGCTCATGTATTTAGTGTGTGGGTGAGCATGTGTGCGTGCTTATGTTGTGGCTCACTCGCGGAGGTCAGAGGACAGCTTCTGGGAATTGGTACAAGAACCAGATTTGAGGGAAAAAGCTTCTTTTTCATCTTTAAAGTTGTCAGTTATGAATATTCTTTTTCTTTTTTAAAAGCAAACCTTTTGTTTTTGTCATGATAGAGCACAGATGCCCTCACAGCTACAGATAGGTGGTCCTACCGTGAGGAGTCAGTCTGGTACCACTGTGTTAGCATTGACCACCTCTGTGAGCCAGGCAGAATGTCAAGAACCTCACTTAAGCCTTGCTTGCTTCTTTGATAAGGTCCTGGGTTCATGTCTAGCCACACTATTTGCTCAGTAAATAATCCCCTTCCCTTTCACAGAGCACGATGCAGATTCCGGACACCGATTCACTGTCCTAGCAGTTCCTTTTCCCTGGAAATGTATTGTTTTAACCTCTGTGAGACATTCTCCCTGCATTCTGAAAATGCGCATAGCAAACAATACTTCTTAGTCACTATAAGCATAATTTTACCATGAAATCATTTTGCAACTGGCAATTGTTTCATGTTCTCTATTCTTTCCCACGATTAAAGAGAAAAAGAGAAAATGGCCTGGGTTACAGAGAGATACCCCAGACCTCTGCAAACTTACATTCCTTCCAAAAGAAGCAAGCTGCTGGGTTAGGTTCCGTGTTATGGAAATACAGACTTTTCTTTATCATTCTTAAGCACTCTGAGATTGAGTTGTGTAACCGACTAGTGTCTGTATACAGCCTTCCCATGTCTTCAGAAGTGTGCACCAGATCATTATTTATTTACCATACATTGCTTTCTTTTCTTTATTTCATTCTTCTGAAGGGATTAGAGGATTTCCCCTTTCCTCTGATCAATGACACTTTTTAAAATCCCATCACAAGAGAAGAAAAAAGCTTCCAAATTCACTTTTAAAATGTTTCTAATTTATTATTGGGAAGGGGCAGAGACTAATGGGTTACAGAGGCAGAGGACCCACACATGGGGCCTGAGGATCGAATTCAGTTTTCAGGCTTGCGTGTTTTACATCTCACCAGGGCAGGTTTGGGTTGTTTTGAAGGGTGTATATGCATGGGGTGTGTGTGTGTGTGTGTGAGTGAGTGTGTGTGTGTGTGAGCATGTGTGTGTGAGCATGTGTATGTGTGAGCATGTGTGTGTGAGCATGTGTGTGTGTGAGCATGTGTGTGTGAGCGTGTGTGTGTGAGCATGTGTGTGAGCGTGTGTGTGTGAACGTGTGTGTGTGAACGTGTGTGTGTGCATGTGTGTGTGAGCATGTGTGTGTGTGAGCATGTGTGTGTGTGTGAGCATGTGTGTGTGTGTGTGTGAGCATGTGTGTGTGTGTGTGTATTTCTCTTAGCCTCTTCAGGTGAAATGGGAAATTCTGTTTCCTTTTTCTGGTACTAGAGTTGAATGTGATTTGTGAGCCACATCCCAATGTCCCGTCCCTAATGTGTTTTTTATGCTGAAGTATTTTGTTTGAAAAGAAGTCTGCGAAGGGATATATATATGTTTTTTTTCTTTTTGGTTTCCCTGTAGGAACTAGCTCTTGTAGACCAGGCTGGTCTCGAACTCACAGAGATCCACCTGCCTCTACTCCCGAGTGCTGGGATTAAAGGTGTGCGCCACCACCCCTGATTCCTTTTAAACTTATGTAGTAACAATTTTGTTAGCCTCATTCTTAGATTTCTTTAATTATTTGATTATTAATACTGAGTTTATCATACCACGAGAGAGGAAAGGGAGGGATTGATTTTTTTTTTTTTTCCTTTTTTGAGGATATTTAAAGTCAGGGTTTCTCTGTAGCTCTCGCTGCCCTGGAACTTGCTCTGAAGACCAGGCTGCCTCCTGCCATTCTTTTTCATTTTGACTTGGTCCCAGGGCTTCATGTGCTAAGCAAGTGCCTTACCACCAAGCCAGCGTCTGAGGAGGCTGTGTGGTCTTTTTTGTACTCTTCTGAGACGGCCTCTCTACACAGCCCTGGCTGTCCTGGAGCTCTCTCCGTAGACCAGGGCTCACAGAGATCCGCCTGCCTCTGCCTCCCAAGTGCTGGGTTAAAGGCTGCGACACCACTGATCCGCTTCCTGTGTAGTCTTACAGACTGCCTGCCATGTTATGATGTTTATTTCATTGTACCATTTTTAGTATGGCTGTATTCTAGAACTTGTTTATTTAATGTTTTCTTGTCAAATGTCTTAGTTTGAGGTGTTTCCATGTCTTCACTTTTAACTCCACTTAAAGCACTACCGTACACTAGACATTTTCATGTGTAGCATATACTTACAGTTTCTGAACAAGTGTGAATGGCATTTTCTTCTTAGATCTCAAACCATTTTTTTAGACATTGTTCTCTCTCTCTCTCTCTCTCTCTCTCTCTCTCTCTCTCTCTCTCTCTCTCTCTTTCTCTCTCTCTCCCTTCCTCCCTTTTTCCTCTGTCTCTGTCTCTCTCTTCAAGATTTATTTTTATGCTGGTGTTCTGCCTGCATGTGTGTCTGTGTGACAGTGTCAAGTCTTGGAACAGGAGTTACAGACAGTTGTGAGCTGCTGCATGGATGCTGGGAACTGAAACCTAGGTCCTTTAGAAGAGCAGCCATGCTCCTACCTGCTGAGCCATCTCCCCAACTTGATCTCAAACCATTTTAATGTTTTCATAGTATCTGTTTTGATCTAAGAATGGTCATGATAGCCTAGAGAATTTGAGGTGACCTTTTATTAACAATTATTTGGGATTGCCAGACTAATTCTATTAGTTTTCTGATTCTGATTTAGAGCTCCAAATTTAATAACTTAGGGTTTGATTCTTATGCCATTTAATTCTTTTATTCTAAAAAAAAGTCATTGGCTTTCCTCAAAGCCAATCCTAATTATATGGAATAATAATTTTTTGTTTTGTTTTGTTTTTAGAGACAGGGCTTCTCTGTATTGTTTTAGATGCTGTCCTGAAACTTGTTCTGTAGACCAGGCTGGTCTCAGACTCAGAGATCCGCCTGCCTCTGCCTCCTGAGTGCTGGGATTAAAGGCGTGCGCCACCAACACCTGGCTTGGAATAATAATTTTTTTTTGGTTTTTCGAGACAGGGTTTCTCTGTATTGGAATAATAATTTTTAAAGAGGAAAGATACATTTTAGAAACTGTATTTTAGATAAGATGGGTTAATAGATGCACAGTGATTTAAAGATGGGAACTTTTAGGTGGTTAATTTTCTCATAAATTGTAATTTATGGAAAAGGAGTTGATAGTTTAAAACAAAAAAAAGGTTAGGATCATTAGAAACAGAGGGAAATGAGTATAAATCACTTGAGAAATAATGAGCAGGATGAGAGAATGGGAAGGAAGGAAAATTTACACCAGCAATCTAAGGCGAGATAGTGTCTGTATTTGAACTTTAAATTTAGCTCCAAGCTTCCTGGCAAGCAAGTGAAAAGAGGAAACGGGATGGGTTTCATGGTTAGCGTCTGATAAAGCCGCTTATCGGTTTTCAGTGGAGAGAAACCGAGGAACATCCTGGTTTATAGCGAAGCTGAGTTCACACACAAGGAATGTACTTTGTATCTTTTCCTTTGTAAATTATTCAGTTTTTGCTGTTGCTGTCTCCACTGCTATAGTTACATATTTGGTCAGATTAAAGTCAAAATTGGACATACTGTGGCTGGGGTGTGTTTATGTATTGCCTCTGGGGCTGAAGCCATTGACGAACAGGAAACTGAAAGCCACAAGTTCAGGAAATGGATTGTATGGAGAGAATATATATATAGTACTTAACTGCTGAAGTCTATGAGCATTTCAAGGCTGAACTTTGTATTGATGTATTTACAGATGGCTGTTGGGGACTCTCAACAATACCGCGATTGGTTAATGTGATAATAGATGCAGCCCCTGGAGGAGACGTTGTGCAGTACGAGAGGAAACATGCAGCAGATGACATGTGCTCGCTCAGTGGCTCAGGAAGCTGCACAGCCGGCATCGCAGAGGCTTGTTTAAGGAGATTTTCTCTTTAGGAACCAGTTTTAGTTTTAGTTTGATTCTAACACAAGGGAGACCCCTGGCTTACAAAATGTCCCATTTCGTTCATAGTAAGTCCTGATGGTTAAGTTACATTTTCTTAACGTTGAATTTTATTTTTATCTTATGTATTAATTAACATATTTAATAGTTTTCTTAAATTATTAAATTAGGAAAATTATTAATAATATTGTCTTAAAAGGTAGCTGTTTGCCCAAATATTTTTTAAATATTGTGGCATTGTGGGACATGGACAAAGAATATAGTTTTTGTTTGTTTCTTTTTTTGTTGTTGTTTTTTTTTTTCAAGACAGGGTTTCTCTGTATTGTTTTGGAGGCTGTCCTGGAACTTGTTCGGTAGACCAGGCTGGCCTCGAACTCACAGAGATCCACCTGCCTCTGCCTCCCGAGTGCTGGGACTAAAGGCGTGCGCCACCAACGTCTGGCTACCCAAATATTTTTTAAATATTGTGGCATCGTGGGACATGGACACAGAATATAGTTTTTGTTTGTTTCTTTTTGTTTGTTTGTTTCTTTTTTGAGACAGGGTTTCTCTACATAGCCCTGGCTGTTCTGAAACTCACTGCATAGACCAAGGTAGCCACAAACTCACAGAGATCCGCCTGCCTCTGCCTCCTGTGTCCTGGGATTAATGGTGTGCGCCACCATGGCCAGAAGTCGTCTTTAGTTTTGAAGTTATAAAAACATCTTGCTTGCTTAGAGCCCGTAGTTATTGTGTGTTAGATAGATTTTTAGTGTAATTTATGGATGTAGCTTTTCCGTTTTGTTTTTTGAGATAGGGTTTTTCTGTGTACTTCTACTGTCTTGGAACTCAGTTTGTAGACCAGGCTGGCCTCGAACTCACAGAGATCCTCCTGCCTCTGCCTCCCGAGTGCTGGGGTTAAAGGCGTGCTCTGCCGCCACCTGGTTTTAAAGAGGAAGTTTCTAATGTTGCAGGTTCATTGTGATGTGTACACACACATGATTCTGTTGCTTTAAGGCTAAGTACCTAGACTGGCCTGGAACTCTTGGTCCTCCTACCTCTGCCTCTGGAGTGCTGGAATTATAGGCATGCACTGCCACACCTGTCTCATCGTTGTACATTTCAACAAAAGTGGTAAATTGTGAAAACAGTCACAAAATACTTACAGGTTACCTGAAGCGAACTTTGTCTTCCCAGTTTCTTCTGATGAGCTCTAGCTGTGCTAGGTGGACATTGTTTTCACAGCTCAGGTGAAGCTAATCGTTCGTCAGGACGGGGTTTGGTTTGCGTCTGCTAGGTTATTCATATGCTTACCCTTGAAGTACTGTAGTGAACAAGAGGACTGAAGGCACTGAGTGGATAGAAAAAAGCAGTGCTCCTCCAAAGAAAGGCTCTAGAATGTTCTTTCTAGCAGAGAAGGGATGGGTGTGATTGACAGCACACACTGGTTTTTTGTTGTTTTGTTTTTGTTTTTCGAGACAGGGTTTCTCTGTGGCTTTGGAGGCTGCCCTGGAACTTGCTCTTGTAGACCAGGCTGGTCTCGAATACACAGAGATCCGCCTGCCTCTGCCTCTGGAGTGCTGGGATTAAAAGTGTGCACCACCAACGCCGGCTAACAGCACACACTGTTAATCCAGCACTGAGGAGGCAGAGACAGCAGCATGTGGCCCACCAGAGGGTAGAGAATTATTCATCAAACATTAAAATTTATAAATCTTACCTGGGCAGTGGTGGCGCACTCCTTTAGTCCCAGCATTCAGGAGGCAGAGGCAGGCGGATCTCTGTGAGTTGGAGAACAACCTGGTCTACAAACTGAGTTCTAGGATAGGCATCAAATATACACAGAGAAACCCTGTCTTGAAAAATCTTAAAAAAGAAAAATTATAAATCTTGCGACTTCCCCAGATTGATGGCTGTGTGGAAAGCATGGGACTGACCCAGACTCCCTGAATGTGGGTGTCAGTGAGGAGGCCTAGGTAATCTATGGGGGCCTTGGGTAGTATTTATCCCTGGCGTACAAATAGACTTTGAGTGCCCAGGTCACAATATGGGAGACTCTCTCAGCCAGGACTCTTGGGGGAGAGCCTAGGCCTTGCCCTGGATGAAATGACAGTCACAGGAGATCCACCATGGGGGGCCTCACCCTCCCTGGGGATCGGAGTGGAGATTGGGTGGGGGACTGGGAGACCTGGGGGCAGGGGAGGAGGGGAGGGAGAGGGAGGTGGGATTAACATGTGAAACAAGATTGTTTCTAACCTAAAAAAAATTATAAATAAATCTTGGGATTGGAGAGATGGCTCAGGGATTAAGAGCACTGACTCTTCCTTCAGGGGTTCTGAATTGGATTCCCAGCACCCACATGGTAGCTCACAGCCATCTATAACTGTAGTTCCATGGGATCTGATGCCCTCTTCGAGTAAACAGATGTACATGCAGGCAAAACACCCAAATACATAAATAAATATTTTTTAAAAACCTTATAAATCTCTTATCTCTGTTTAGTGTGCTGATTCTGCTAGGTAATACCTATTTTAGTAGCAACACTAGGTGTAATAGATAAAGGAAAACACAAACCACCAGTGGCTCTTAAAAGGGGAAGCAGGGAATGGGGACCAAAAGCCCCTGCCCTCCAAGCTCTCTGGGAGCAGGGACTAGTTGCTTCCTGTTTGCCATCTTGCTCGACACATAGTGAGTGTCCATAACTAGTTGTAATGAATGGTGACTCTCTGATTAATCACTTGCAGTGGCTTGCATTTCCTGTACTGTGGGTCAGAGGGTCATCAAGACCTGATAGATATACTCAATTGACTTTTTCTTTATTAATGAGAATTAAAATTTAACAGACTTAAACAATTTTTATTAATTTTTGTTTGTTTTTCGAGGCAGGGTTTCTCTGTGGCTTTGGAGGCTGTGCTGGAACTAGCTGTTATAGACCAGGCTGGTCTTAACTCACAGAGATCCGCTTGCTTCTGTATTTTAAATTTTATATGCATTGGTGTTTTGCCTGCATGTATGTGTGTGTGGTGATATTGGATCCCCTGGAACTTGTGAGCTACCATGTAGGTGCTGGGAATTGAACCCAGGTCCTTTGGAAGGGCAACTAGTGCTCTTAAACCCTGTCCAGCCCCTTAATTTTTTAAAAATTGATTTGTAACAGACTCAGTTTTGAAAACTTATTTCCCATTTGAAGCCTATGATTCTGAATGGTTTGATGTATTTCTTAGATGCTTTTGCTGCCCTTGCAAATGCTGCATGTGGTTATGTTGTTGTTTTTGAGACAGGGCTTTACTGTGTTCCTTCAGCTGGCCAGAAGCTTACAATGTAGACTAGCTGGCCAGTCATAGAGGTCTGCCATCCTCTGCTTCACTGAATCCCACTGTACATATGGATTTTAATGCAAATATGTATTATTCTGTGCTAGTAGAGGCCAAACTGAAGTCCTTGTGTATGCTGAGTAAATGTGCCATCACTAAGCTATATTCTTGACCCTTAGAACAGTTAGGTTTTGGTCTGTAAGTTGCTTTTCTCTTTTATGTCATTCTTGAATATCTTTACACATCAATTCCCATATAGCTGTTAACTTATTTTTAACTGCTGCATACTTTTTCATTGTTGAGATTTATAGTAATAGCCCATTAAAAAGTATTTCCCTGTGGCTGAGGAGATGACTCAGGAAAGTGCTTGCTGTGCAAGCATGGGGTCCTGTGCGCATGATGTGTGTCTGTAATTCTAACCCCGGAACAGGAGAGAAACACAGATTCCTAAAGCATGGGGTCCTGTGCGCATGATGTGTGTCTGTAATTCTAACCCTGGAACAGGAGAGAAACACAGATTCCTAAAGCATGGGGTCCTGTGTGCATGATGTGTGTCTGTAATTCTAACCCTGGAACAGGAGAGAAACACAGATTCCTAAAGCATGGGGTCCTGTGTGCATGATGTGTGTCTGTAATTCTAACCCTGGAACAGGAGAGAAACACAGATTCCTAAAGCATGGGGTCCTGTGCGCATGATGTGTGTCTGTAATTCTAACCCTGGAACAGGAGAGAAACACAGATTCCTAAAGCATGGGGTCCTGTGTGCATGATGTGTGTCTGTAATTCTAACCCTGGAACAGGAGAGAAACACAGATTCCTAAAGCATGGGGTCCTGTGTGCATGATGTGTGTCTGTAATTCTAACCCTGGAACAGGAGAGAAACACAGATTCCTAAAGCTTGATGGCCACCCAGCCCGGCAGGGTTCATACTATATCCATGTCTAGTGAGAGATGCCTCAAAAGTGACGGAGAAAGGCCTCCACATACACAGACATGTGCGTGCACCCATACTCATGTACAAAGGAATTGTCTTTCTTCTATCAGAAGTGCTGTGTTTAGTAGCCTTCCAGCAGATACTTGTTTCCAAGAATACCTGCAGGCAGTTTTCTGGACATGGTGTTGCTGGATATTAAACTTTTTGTAGGTATTGGCAGATTTGCCCTTAAAAACATGGTCCCAGCTTGCATTCTCATTAGGAATATAAAGTATTATTTTCTGGTGACTGTGCAAATTTCATTTTGTGGACAGAGTCAGGGAGCCCTGCTCTTCACTAGCTAACCATCCGTTCTTCAGTTACTTCTCCATCCGTCAGCTTCACTGTATGGGGACAGTTCCACCGTCTGTGGTTATTGAGAGGCTCGCCTCTGGACCCCGAGCTCTACTGAGGTGAGTCAGCAATCTGCGGATCCGTGTATGTGCCCTGCGGTGCATGAGGAGACAGATGGTGGGGCCAATTGCCGTAGTTTCTTTTTTTTTTTTTTTTTTTTATGAGACAGGGTTTCTCTGTATTGTTTTGGAGGCTGTCGGACCAGCCTGGTCTTGAACTCAGAGAGACCCGCCTGCCTCTGCCTCCCGAGTGCTGGGATTAAAGGCATAGGCCACCACTGCCTGGCTTGCCGTAGTTTCTTGCTCTTTCTTAGTGACAGCAGAGGAAGGCCCTCAAAAGGAGATGGAGATGAGAGTGCTGTGAAGTCCCTGGTAGATGGACAGCAGGTGCTGAGCCCAGGGGAAGGAACAAGGGAGTAGGATGCTTGCCAGAGCAGCTCAAGGGGAGTATGTGAGGTGAGAATGAAACATTATCTGTGGTCAGCGTGGTGGCTGAGAGCATGGAAGGGATTTGGAGTCTGTGCTGTTTGTGATGGGAAGCCATTGGAGGGTTGCCAGAGTAAGTTGTTTTAAAGCCAGTCTGATTGTCACTTTCCTTAAAAGTGCTTCAGTTCCCATTTCCTTTGGAATAAAGTTCAAATGCTGTATTCTGGTACACAAGGTCCTTCAGTCAAGCCTCTGCTATTTATTGAGCATCGTCTGCGTCTTTCCCACATGTACCCTTCACTGTAGCCAAATTGGATCACAAGCAGTTCCTGGATGGGTCATGGTGATTCATGTCTTTGCTTCTTCCTGCACACTGCTGGCCCTGCAGGAAGCCCGCCCTCTGCCTACTATGTCATTGGTTGTAGAGGTCATCACCAGTCTTGCTCACGGGCCATTCCCTCCAGTCACTTTCTGCTTGAGCCACAGTCTTGAGTTGGGCTGTCTTTCCCTGCCCACCCTAAATGTACTCTCACCACACCCTTGCTGGTTGAAAGCCTTCCTTCAGCTCCTGTCTCCAGTGCTGCCTGCCATGTTTTCCTTCCTTACTACTTCATTGTGGGGACCTGAAGTGGAGGTCTCTGCCTCACAGAAAACCCTCAAATGGTTTGCTTTCATTTCCTCTGTGACTCTTTGTGCAGAATTTCTGTTCCCTTCCTGCTTCATTCCTATGCATGTTGTGTAGGGCCAAAGAATAATTAGACAGTTGTTAGTTTTCAAGCTGCAAAAATGAGTGAGCAATTACATGTCTGTTAAATCAGCAAAGCAAATTAACTGGAATGTTGATGACATAGTAACCCCTGTTCTTTCATAAAAATGACACCAGAAAGTCATGTGTCCATTTATTTGTTTTTATTTATGTGTATACAATGTATGTCTGTGTGAATGTCTGCTCTGTGAGTGCAAGCCCTCAGGGAACCCAGAAGAGGACATTGGGTGCCCTGGAGCTAGAGTTACAGGTGGTTGTGAGCCAGAGAGGGTGCTGGAACCCAACTTGGATCCTCTGGAAGAACAGTAAGCCCTTTCAACTGCTGAGAGGTCTCCTTAACCTCTAGTATACCCATTCTTGAGATGCAACCTGGTGAAATATATTCAGACATAGATACTCACTTTGATGTTATGTTTTCTAGGTAGGGCTTCTCAAAGGCTGGCCTCGTCTCAAACTCGGTATGTGACTAAGGATGACCTTAAACTGATCCTTCTGCCTCAACCTCCTGAGCTCTGGGGTTACCTGTGTGAGCTACCATACCAGGCTCATGTCTGTAGTTTGTGGAAATCTTTAGAAAGTAATGTAGGATTGGAGAGATGGCTCAGGGGTTAAGAGCACTGACTGCTCTTCCAAAGGTCCTGAGTCCAATTCCCAGCACCCACATGGTGGCTCTCAACCATCTGTAATGAGATCTGGTGCCTCTTCTGTTGTGCAGGCAAAGTACTGAATACATAATGAATAAATGCATCTTTTAAAAAGAAAGTAATGTAAATGAGAACAGTTATAAGTTGCTACTGCTGAGGATGGAAGTTCCCTGGGCCTCACAGTGGTGCTCTGTGCATTAGGGTCCATCCCAGAATCCCAGTGCATATGAGCTCCTTTTTTCTTTTGGTGTTGAGGACAGCACTGAGCTATGCTCCAGATTCCAGCAATGTTAAACATTATGTTGTAAGTTAGGAAGCTGAAGCTCAAAGTAGTTATGTGACTTGCTCAAGTTCATAGAACTGTTATGTTGTCAAACATTCGTTTCTGTTTGTTTGTGGTTTTGATTTTTTGTTTTGTTTTAGAGACAGGCTTTCTCTGTGTATCCCTGGTTGCCCTGGAACTTGTTCTGTAGATTAGGTTAGCCTTGAACTCACAGAGATCTGCCTGCCTCTGCCTCCCGAGTGCACCACCACTGTCCAGCCAACGTCACTTTTATAACATGGTGACTTGACATGCTTGGGTTTCCCTTGTACACTTTCCAGTTGATTTATGAAAGAACGGTTGCCAGGATGGTGCATACGCTGTCATCCTGCACTCGGGAGACTGGGACTGCAGGATGGACAGCTCCTATCTCAGAAAACAAAACAAAGCAGTGTTTCACTCGGTTTCAAAATTATAACTATTAATGGTCTTTCCATAACTTATATAGATTAAAGATCAAAATAAGAACTGGGTGTGAGCCGGATAGTGGTGGCGAAGACCTTTAATCCTAGCACTCTGATAAACCCGGAAGAAAGAGGTTATCCTTGGAGACTACAAAGATGACCCCTTTCTTATCAACTGGTAGAGCAGTAAACACCCCTCCCCACCTCGGGGAGGGTTATCAGAAAGTGATTTAGAAGACAACTCTACCAGCCAACTGCCTGAATTGGCATTTATGGTAGTTTATCCATTATCTACCAAGTGCACTTTATTTTCAGTTTCACATGAGATACCTAAAAGAGATCATATTTTAGTTCATGTGACAGTGTGGCTGGACTGTGGTGGCACATATCTTTAATTCTAGCACTCAGGAGGCAGAGGCAGGCAGATCTCTGTGAGTTCAAAGCCATCCTGGTCTACAGAGTGATCTCCAAGACAGTCAGAGATACATAAGCGAAACCCTGTCTCAAAAATAAGCAAACAAATAAAAAGTAAAAAAATAAAATAAAATAAAATCAATGCTGGGGCTGGAGAGACGGCTCATCAGAGGTCCTGGGTTCAATTCCCAGCACTCATGGGTTGGTGGGGGGGCTGCTAGTAAAATCTGTAATTCCAATTCCAGGAACTCTTCCAGCCTCTGAGAACACTAGTCATATACATGACACACAGACATACACATGCGCAAAACACTCATACATGTAAAGTAAAACAGAAAAAATATGCTGGGTGTAGTGGTGCACACTTTTAAACCCAGCACCTGGGAGACAGAGGCAGGTACATCTCTGTGAGTTTGAGGTCAGTCTGCTCTATACAGCTAGTTCTAGAACAGCGGAAGCTACAGAGACTCTTTTGTCTTTTTGAAACATTTTTATTATATATTTAAATTAGAAACAAGCTTGCTTCCCATGTCAGTCCCAGCTCCCTCTCTCTCCCCTCCATGCCCGCTCACCCCATCCCCACTCCATTCCCCAGGGAGGGTAAGTCCCTCCATGGAGGATCTCTAGAGTCTGTCATTTTGTTCTGGGGAGGGCCTCGGCTCTCCTCCAAGTGTCCAGATTGAGAGAGCATCCCTCATTGTGGGATGGGCGTCCAAAGTTCATTTGTGTGCCAGGGATAAATACTGATCTACTACCCAAAGCCCCATAGATTGTCTAGGTCTCCTCACTGACACCCACATTTAGGGGGCCTGGATCAGTTCCATGCTGGCCTCAATTTTTTAAATGAAAGATACCTGGAAAAATCATAAACCTTTAGAAATGAACACATTTCTCTCAAACTCAAAGGTTAGAAATATTTGAATAATTTTAATAAATCAAAATCTGTGGTTTATAGTTAGGAAATTCTCAAAGGGAAATTTAAAAGTGTAAAGTCACAAAGAAGTATCTTTAGCTTTCTTTTTAAGAAACTGGATAGAGAAAACCAAAAGCTAAAGTAAACAGAAGAAACAGGTCAAAGATAAAAGCTTAAATCAATAAAATAGAAAATAGGAAAACAGTAGGTAAAGTCAATGAAGTAAAAAGTTGTCTCTTGTGTAGAGTGCAGCCTTCCTGTCAGCCTGGTTCCAGAGCCGCATCAGTCCCAAATGAACACATAGGACGCTGTATTAATTATGAAGCTGTTGGCCATTTGCTTGTTTCTTACTGGCTAGCTCTGACTTAAGTATTTAACTCATAATTGTTAATCTAAGTATTTCTCTTACTGTAGAAAGGGGTCCGGACCTCTTATTTCTATGGCAGCTACATCATGACTCCCTGTGTTTCTCTTTCCCAGAATCCTCCTCGACTCCTAGTCCCACCTATCTTGCTTCCCTATTGGCCAACAGTGCTTTATTGACATATACACAGGACTTCCCCATCACTCTTGGAAAACGCAGATATTGTCTATGAGCTTCTAGCCTGATTGACCAGAAGGAAAAGAGAGGACACACATTACTAGTCAGGAGTGAAAGTAACAAAAGTGTAGAGCACGCAGTTTTAAAAACAAGACAGATAGTATAAGTTGCTTTGCGTAAATAAGTGGGCAGTGATCCAAGACGACAAAGCTTATTTCAGAAGAAGCAACCAATAGAGAAGTGATTCTCCTGTGGGAAACGTGGCGAAGGGCTGAAGTCCTTCAAGGAAAGCTAAGCCCTGCATGGCTTTCCCTGAGGAATCTACTGGATGTTTGAAGGCCCGTAGCATGAGTTTTGCCCAGATTCTTGGATAACAATTGACAGAGTATTTCCGAACCCCTTTTGTGATGTGGACGCTATCACAATGTCAAACTTGAGCAAATGGGGGAGGGGAGCAGACATAATAACCCATACAGTTCAGGGGAATCTAGAAGCCTCTCCTGACTTTGACCCGCACCAGGCATGCACATAAATGCACAGACATACATGCAGGCAAAATGCATACATAAAATAATAAAAAAGCTTTTAGAATTTGTTTAATAGAAAAAAAAAGACTGCCAGGGGCTACAT